AACAGCCTCCTTAGTAGTAGGTGGGAAGGAGTGACAGAGTTGGATGTCATCTGCGTACAGATAACACCGCACCCGAAACTCCGGATGATCTCTCCCAACGGCTTCATGTAGATGTTAAATAACATGGGGGACAATATCGAACCCTGCGGGACCCCACAAGTCAATGGTTGTGAGGACGAGCAGTTGTCCCCCAGCAACACCATCTGGGTGCGATCCTCTAGGAAGGACCTGAGCCACTGTAAAACAGTGCCCCCCAGGCCCATTCCCACGAGGCGACCCAGAAGGATACCGTGGTCGACGGTATCGAAAGCCGCTGAGAGGTCCAGCAGAACCAACAGGGACACACTCCCCCTGTCAAGCTCACGCCGGAGATCATCCACTAAGGCGACCAAGGCTGTCTCGGTACCATGCCCCGGCCTAAAGCCAGACTGTGCCGGATCCAGATAATCAGTGTCTACCAAGAATGCCTGGAGTTGTGAGGCCACCACACGTTCCAGGACTTTGCCCAAAAAGGGGAGATTGGAAACAGGTCCAGTGATGGTTTCTTCAACAGCGGTTTTATTACAGCTTGTTTTAAGCTGGCTGGAATGATGCCTTCCCGAAGGGAGGCATTAACCACCACCTTCACCCACTCGGCCAATCCCCCTCTGGCCTCCTTTAGAAGCCAGGATGGGCAGGGGTCTAGGATGCATGTGGTTGCTCTCATCCCTCCAAGCACCTCGTCCACATCCTCAGGTTTCACAAATTGAAACGAATCCATCAAAATCGGACAGACAGGTGTTCTCGTCAAATCCTCAGAGACTGCCGTTAACATGACTCACTCTCCATCTTGGTGCACTTTGGAGGATGCTGGGACTTCTTGAGACCATCACAACCCACACCAATGACTTATCAAGACCAAACTTGGCACAAAGCGTCCCCATGACCCACTCTACATCCTTGTGCAGTTTGGAGGACGGATGATGGGACTTACAGGACCTTCATTCACTTCCTGAGACCGCTGCGACCCTCATCCAACGACCAAGAAAAACCAAACTTGGCACACAGATCCCCCATGACCCACTTTACATCTTGGTGCACTTTGAAGGATGATGGACTACAGATGATGGGACTTGCAATGTTTCACTCACTTCTTGAGACCATCGCGACCCGGTCCAATGACTGATCAAGACCAAACTTGGCACACATAGCTCCCATGCCCACTCTACATCCTAGTGCAGTTTGGAGGAGAATGGACCATGACAATGGGACTTGCATATGGGAGTTGTAGTTCACATGCACCCACTGAACCCAGCTGACATTGGATCTAGACTGAACTTGGAGCATAGACGAACAATGCCTTTCTCAAATAACCTGGGCACTGCCAGGTCCCCAAGCTAGTATATATATATTCAAGTTGTGTGGTTTCAGAGGACCATTTATAATTCTTTTTGCACCCCACAACTCTACTACATATATCCTCTATCAATTCCAAAAGAGAAGAATATGCCTTTTGCCTGAAGCGCTACTTAAGAGGAATGTGCTGCCTGAAAAAGATGAGGCTAATAAACAGACAGCAATCAATACCTCTGTTTGTTCATTTTTCAAAGACCCTACAATTCAAAGGGAATTTGGAGGCTGAGATCTGTTATTTTAAGAAAGAAACTGTTGCAACCCAGATCAGGAAACAAGACCATAAGATTAAATCCACCACACTTGACTGTGGGAAAAAACAATCCTTTTTTATTGATGAAAAAAAGTTACAAAATAGAGGAAAATGCAAAGTCAAAAAGCCACAGTAAAACTCAGCAGTCAGGAATGTCTCTGAACTAGATCAAAATTCCAAAAGCAACACTATAAAAACCTGGAACCTGTTAGTATCTCACTAACCGTACTTGGAAACTAGAAGCCTCTGGGAATGCAGGCCATGGGAAACGGGAACTCAGCCAAGGTGATGCCTCAGTCTAAACGATGCTTGATCTAACAAGACAGCCCGGGGAAGACACTTTAAACTAAAGAAACTGTTTCGGGACACGCCTCCAGGCTTGGAAGCCTCCTTTTCCTTTAATCTACTTGACCTTCGCAGACTCTGTGATTCACTCCTGTTTTCCCAAATCTGCCTTCTTTTATCCTCGTTAAAAAAGGCAAGTGTTAACTCCTCTGGAGAGTTATTACCGCTTGATTCTGAAACATCCTCATCAGGATGTTTAGTTTCACTTTCCCAGCTACTGCCCTCAGAATCAACAGTTTCCAAACCATCAGGGAAAACTACATGTTGAGTAGCCTGTTCAGCTGCATCAGGAAATACAATCAAAGAATCACACGGAGGCTGAAGGTCAGGTTCACACGGAGGCTGAACCCCAACAGAAACTCTCCCATGCTTTGCCCCTTCCTATGCTGCAAATAATTCCTAATTGGAATCTAAAAAGGTCCAGTTTACAGCAGGAACCCAGTTTTACGTATACGGTACCAAATATCCAGACTCACTTCATTCTGGCTTCGGAAGTGGAGCTGTTTGCAAGGAAAACAAACCAGATGGTGTTAGAGCCACCTAAGACTGACCTGGATGATCAGTGGAGCCCATTCCAAATACAGCTTCAGGCAATCAATTCCCCTGTTTACCTGCTTATAGGTGCTGGCCGTCATGTCTGCACAGAGGTTCACCCGTCCGGATGGGTCCACAAAGACCACCTGGAAGGCTTCGTGGAAGTCCGACAAAGAGGGCTAAAAGGAAAGAAAGGGAAAGCTGTTAAGAACTTAGGAAGTTGTACATTTGCTCAAAATTCTTTTCTGATTTTTGGCACTATTCCATTTCAAAAATAAAGGGTTCAGGAGCTTTGGGTAAGTTTCTTCAAACTTTAGATTACACAATTTTCGTTCCTGGGTTATAAATGTCATTTCCTAATTGATTCCATCATAAAAACATGGGAAAAGTTTGTTAAGCTGACAAAACTTTGTTTTCAAGGGAGGGACATCATCCTGCAGCACATTTTGCTCTAGTTTTTCAAGACTTTTTTTCATGCCGGGAGTGACTTGGGAAACTGCAAGTCGCTTCTGGTGTGAGAGAATTGGCCGTCTGCAAGGATGTTATCCAGGGGACGCCTGGATGTTTGATGTTCTACCATCCTGTGGGAGGCTTCTCTCATGTCCCCGCATGGGAAGCTGGAGCTGACAGATGGGAGCTTACCCCGCTCCCTGGATTTGAACCAATGACCTTTTGGTCAGCAGTCCTGCCGGCACAAAGATTTAATCCACTGCGCCATATTCCATATATCCCTTAGAGTATTTATTTATTTATTTATATGCCGCCCTTCTCATCCCGAAGAGGATGAGATCCCGAGTGGCTTACATGATATATATACATACATACAATATATTATATTATGAGCATAGTACAATATAAGTATTACATATGACTAATACCATTATATTGTAATATTATTAGTAATATGAGACATATAATTATTATATCTTATTATTATTTGTAGTAGTATATTGTATTACGTTATAACATTATAAATATTTTTATATTTATAATGACGAGATACATGGTATTATTATTGGTGGCCCAATAATTTGTATTGTCTATGTGTTGTTGTTTTAAATTGTATATTGTTTTTAATTGTTGTAAACCGCAATGAGTCGCCGACTTAGGCTGAGATATTAGCGGTATACAAGTGTATTAAATAAATAAATAAATAAATAAATAAATTTTATGTATATACATTATATTACGTTACATTATATTATTAGCATAGCATATCCACTAATTCAATATATTTTGTGCCACAAAAATGAAATTTCCTATAGTATAAAGTAAGGAATGCACAATTAAACAGGAAATAACACATTCAAACCGGGAACAGATTTTCCCCCCCAAAATTTTGTTACATAGTGTTATGGGGTGCTTTTGTGCTTTTTGGAAGTGGAAAACAACCCACTGCCAGGATCACAAATCCTACCATGTTTCACTTTAATCTTTTAGGATGCTTACCTGTGCTAAGTACTAGATGATGGATCTTATCATGTTTTTAACCCTCAAAATGCGACATATACATTTATATCGTGCCTACTTCGCGGATTTTCACTTTTCGCGGGTGGTCCTCGGATGTAACACCAACAATAAGTGAGGAAAATCAAGTCTCTTTTTAATCCATTACGCTATTTAATATGTTTAGAATATTTCAATTATTTTATTGTTCCAAACAGGAGCGGTTTGAATCCAGCTTCTGCCAGCCGTGCAGTTCAAAAACATGCAGATGTGAGTAGATCAATAGGTACTACTCCGGAGGGAAGGAAACGGAGCTCCATGCAGTCATGCTAGCCACATGACTTTGGAGGCATCTACGGACAATGCCGGCTCTTCAGCTTATGAATGGAGATGAGCACCAACCCCCAGAGTTGGACACGACTAGACTTAATGTGAAGGGGAAATCTTTACCTTTAACTTTATTTATTGTTCCAAACTGTTTACTGTTTTAACATTATTTGTAAGCCACCCTGAGTTCTTTTTGATGTAGGGCAGAGTATAAAGATTTTAGCAAACAGATCCGTCTTATCCAAATAATGCAAACACCAAAGGGAGATTTCGCTTCTCTTACCAAGGTGCCATCCATGTTTTTTGAGAGGTTGATTCCAGAGGTCGTGAGGTCTGTGGTAGCTAGGAAGGAAAAGAGATGCATTTTTATGGCTGTTGAGATTCACGTCAGTTCTAGCTCATGCCAACTTTAAGACTGTTAACCCTTTCATTAGGAAGAAGGCTTAGGTTTAATGCAATCCTATCCTCACACAAACACTATAAAAATTCTAAAAACACACATATTAAAATGCAGCTCCATAAAAGATGCACATCAAAACATTTCTGTAAAATACACATCAATCACACAGGACATGAGTTTAAAATTCATGCTATGAAGTATAAATGAATGTCATGCTTACATTGGGTATCACCTCCAAGATAGCTCATTATGTGTGTGCAAGTATTTCCTAATCCCAAAAAATCTGAAATATAGAACACTCTGGATCCAATAATGTTGGATAATACTATGTTCATGGGTTATAAGTGCCATTTCCACAGCACCGGGACTGTGGCGCAGCTGGCTGAGAGTCAGCTCCATTAAAATCAATACTGACCGAGAAGTCATGAGTTCGAAGCCAGCCAGGGTAGGAGTGAGCTTCTGGCCATTTGTCTAGTTTGCTGTCGACCTTTGTAGCCCAAAAGGCAGTTGCATCTGTCAAGTAGGAAATTGAGGTACCACTTATGCGGGGAGGCTAATTTACGACACCATAAAATCTCCAGCAAGCATGCAAAGAATGAGGAAGTACTTCATTGGTGTCACAAATGGATGGTGAAGTGACAGCTACCCTAGTGGCCAGAATACACTCATGAAAAAGATGGAATGTTAAACAGCCTCTATGTGCCTGTCTATATATGTTGCATGTATATGACCTTGAATGTTTGCCATGTATATCCTGTGTCCCCTGCGGGGTGGGAAGGGTGGAATACAAATACTGTAAATAAATAAATACATAAATTTCCTAATTGGTTTTATCACAAACACATGGAAAATGTTTATTAAACTGACAAAACTTTGTTTTTGCAGGACATCCTGCAACACATTTTTCTCTAGTTCTTCAATGAATATCTCATCATTGAGTCTCAACTAAATCAACCTAGTTTGTGCCATAAAAATGAACTTTCTGGAGTAGAACAACTACTTTCAAAGTAAGTACTGCATAATTAAACAGGAAACAACAGCTTCAAACCAGTAACATCGATATTTTTCCAATTTTGTTACGGAGTCTAATCTAACTTCATCAGGTGAGTTGATCTCCCTTGCAGGCCAGAAGTAGCAAAAGACCATCACTGGGGACACATGGCCCCTCCATCTGGGGGCTTTGACCTCTCCAAAGTCAGAAACTTCTACCAACATGAAGGACCTTTATGCCTCCGAGTCAGAATATGAAGAACTTACCCAAGAACTGGAGGGCGTTCCGCAACACCTGGTAGCCGCTCATGACTTTGTTGATCTTGTTGCCGGCCAAGAGGTAGCCCACCAGCATGGAGGCCAAGAAACCATTGAAGCACCCCAGGCCCTGGAAAGAAGTGTACATCAGAATTGGTAGAAGCATCTAACTGAGAATGGATTTCCATCTCTTAGACAGCAGGCATGGGCCAACTTGGGCCCTTCAGGTGTTTTGGACTTCAACTCCCACAATTCCTAACAGCCTACCAGCCCATGACTGATCTATGTTACAGTAAGTTGTAGCAGGATCAAGTGTGTATTAAAGAAAAACATTATGATGCTAATTATTATGTGCAGCTGGTAATGTAGGTCAGCTAGCATGTTTGGGTCACACCCGGTATGGATTTTAGAATACAGTTTGGAGAAGCAATACACTACTCTGAGGAAGAAAGTGGAAATAAGTGACAAGTGGAGTGCCGCAGGGTTCCGTCCTGGGCCCGGTCCTGTTCAACATCTTTATTAATGACTTAGATGAAGGGTTAGAATGCAGGATCATCAAGTTTGCAGAAGACACCAAATTGGGAGGGATAGCCAATACTCCAGAGGACAGGAGCAGGATTCAAAACGATCTTGACAGATTAGAGAGATGGGCCAAAACTAACAAAATGAAGTTCAACAGTGACAAATGCAAGATACTCCACTTTGGCAGGAAAAACGAAATGCAGATACAGAATGGGGGATGCCTGGCTTGAGAGCAGTACGTGTGAAAAAGATCTTGGAGTCCTCGTGGACAACAAGTTAAACATGAGCCAGAATGTGATGTGGCGACAAAAACAGCCAATGGGATTTTGGCCTGCATCAATAGGAGTCTCTAGGGAAGTCATGCTCACCATGCTCTATTCCGCTTTGGTTAGACCACACCTGGAATATTGTGTCCAATTCTGGGCACCACAATTGAAGGGAGATGTTGACAAGCTGGAATGTGTCCAGAGGAGGACTAAAATGATCAAGGGTCTGGAGAACAAGCCCTATGAGGAGCGGCTTAAGGAGCTGGGCATGTTTAGCCTGAAGAAGAGAAGGCTGAGAGGAGATATGATAGCCATGTATAAATATGTGAGAGGAAGCCACAGGGAGGAGGGAGCAAGCTTGTTTTCTGCTTCCTTGAGACTAGGACGCGGAACAATGGCTTCAAACTACAAGAGGGGAGATTCCATCTGAACATGAGGAAGAACTTCCTGACTGTGAGAGCCGTTCAGCAGTGGAACTCTCTGCCCCGGAGTGTGGTGGAGGCTCCTTCTTTGGAAGCTTTTAAACAGAGGCTGGATGGCCATCTGTCAGGGGTGCTTTGAATGCAAAATTCCTGCTTCTTGGCAGGGGGTTGGACTGGATGGCCCATGAGGTCTCTTCCAACTCTTTGATTCTATGATTCTATGGAAGAATGTGCTGTAATGCTGCTTTGCTCTAACAGCGATGCTCTTGTCGCACCTCAGAGTAGATTCACCTTGCTAAAAACACCAAACTGTACACAGCCAGAAGTCTTTATAGTTTATTAAAAATAAAAGGTAAAAAGTTCTTAAAAGCAAATGTAATGTTCAAAAAGATCAATATGATAAGATCAATATAAAATAGCACTTGAAGCTTAATCCAAAAAGGCACAAGCAGCAAAACCCCAAGAGAACATGACAAGGTCCTGAAACCATGAACACAAGAACTGTAAGATATCCAGACAAGGAAAGGCAAGCTTCTTAGTTGAACAAAAAGTTGCTTTGACAAAGGTTTGGTCTCAAACACACTGCTTAATACCCTTTGCAAAACATGAAGGCGTTTCTTTGGCCTCTGGCCTCCCTCTTGTTAGCTATTCTCACACTCATTAGAACTCTGAATTCCAAACGGTCAGCTCGATCTAAGGTTCCCATTTCGTCAAGGTCAGTCTGTTCATTAGTGTCAGCCTGCTTGATCATTATCAGGCTGAGAACTATCTTCCTTCTTTGAGTCAATCTGCACCTGCACCTGGCTATTTTCAGTATCAGCACTCATTCCTTGTTGTGGGAAACTGCACTTCTTCACTGTCTATAACAGGGACGTCTTGAACCAGATTATGAACCTGAGTCCCATCATCCTCATCAGAGACATTATGTGGTTCCAGCTGAGTCACAACAGCTCTTTGCTATGGTGGAATAGCTATTTACTCAAGGTTTATGTTTTGCTCTCTCATTTGAATGAAGATGAAGAAGCCTTATTCTGTGTTACTTACAAGGACTATGTAAGTTTGTTGCACTGTTTGATTTTGTATGCACTGCAAGTTTATGCCTCTGCTGGTAAGAGTAAAGCTTTTTCTGTTCCTTTTTTCCTCTTCCCTGGGTGTCTTTTGCATGAGACTTGGCTAAAACTTGGCTAAAACAAGCTCTGCGCACTGTAGAACAAATGCACTTTGTCACCACTTTAATTGCCATGGCTCAATGCTATGGGATCATGGGAGAAAGCTAAAGACCTTGCAAAGCTACTACTCCCATGATTTCATAGCAATGAGCCATGGGTTGTTGTAGGTTTTTTCGGGCTATATGGCCATGTTCTAGAGGCATTCTCTCCTGACGTTTCGCCTACATCTATGGCAAGCATCCTCAGAGGTAGAGGAGCTAGGTGTGACTGTTTCAACTGACCACCTTGATTAGCATTTGATAGCCTGCTGTCTGAGTTTTTTAATACTGGTAGCCAGATTTTGTTCATTTTCAGGGTTTCCTCCTTTCTGTTGAAATTGTCCACATGCTTGTCCACATTCTGTTGAAATTGTCCACATGAAATTGTCCACAAAAACAGCAGAGGGAAAACAATCTGGGACGTCTAATCGCCTCCCAACAAAAGATTGCCCCAGGCACTTCCAGGCTATCAAATGCTAATCAAGGTGGTAATTTGAAACATTCACACCTAGCTCCAGCAGACAAGAGTCCTTTGTCTCACCCTGGCCATTCCACAGATATATAAACTCATTTTCCTAGCTCCAACAGAACTCACTACCTCTGAGATGCTTGCCATAGATGCAGGCGAAACATCAGGAGAGAATGCCTCTAGAACATGGCCATATAGCCCGAAAAAACCTACAACAACCCAGTGATTCCGGCCATGAAAGCCTTCGACAATACATTTAACCATGGCTGCTAAACTAGTTTCAAGCTACAAATCACAAGGGCAGCATAAAATATTAGAATAGACAAATCAATAAATCTGCACATTCATACCTTGTTAGAAGAGCTTGTGCAATTTTCCTCTTTTGGAATCCCATACACAGTCCAACCTTGCCTGGAACCCCATTACATTTTGTTGCATTGCATCTCAATCAAGAGATAAAAGCAGAATATAAATATGGTAGTAATAATAATAACCACCTTATCAAGTTCTCGCTGACGCAGCCACACTTTGAGGAGGCAGACTCCATCCCGCATGCCTTCGAAGCCACTGGCTGCCTCAGAGAGGAACACCAAGTTGGGTGCCAGGCCCAAATCCCACAAAATGGAGTTGTTGTAGTGAGGAGTCGGGGGCTCAACAGCTCCTGGGAAAGAGACAAGCAAAAAGAAAACTTCACCAAAGCCACTTGGAGGACAAACTTGGGGTTGTGTCTACACTGTCGAACAAATACAGTGTGACACCACTTTAACCGGTACGGAACCCTGGGAGTTGTAGTTTGGTGAGGCACCAGACCTCTTTGGCAGAAACTAGAATGGCCATGATTCCATAGCACTGATCCATGACAGTTAAAGTTGTGTCAAAGCTGAATTCTACAACACAGATGCTCCCATTCCTATGGACAGTAGGTCATTGGGTGAATCATAGAATCCTAGAGTTGGAAGAGACCTCACGGACCCTCCAGTCCAACCCCATTCTGCCAAGAAGCAGGAATATTGCATTCAAAGCACCCCTGACAGATGGCCATCCAGCCTCTGTTTAAAACCTTCCAAAGAAGGAGCCACCACCACACTCCGGGGCAGAGAGTTCCACTGCTGAACGGCTCTCACAGTCAGGAAGTTCTTCCTCATGTTCAGATGGAATCTCCTTTCTTGTAGTTTGAAGCCATTGTTCCATTGCATCCTAGTCTCTAGGGAAGCAGAAAACAAGCTTGCTCCCTCCTCCCTGTGGCTTCCTCTCACATATTTATACATGGCTATCATTTCTCCTCTCAGCCTTCTCTTCTTCAGGCTAAACATGCCCATCTCTTTAAGCCGCTCCTCATAGGGCTTGTTCTCCAGACCCTTGATCATTTTAGTCGCCCTCCTCTGGACACATTCCAGCTTGTCAATATCTCTCTTCAATTGTGGTGCCCAGAATTGGACACAATATTCCAGGTGTGGTCTAACCAAAGCAGAATAGAGCATGGGGAGCATGACTTCCCTGGATATAGGCACTACGCTCCTACTGACTCGAGGAATATTTGTTTTGTTAGCTGCTGAATAAACAAGCAGCCAACCTACCTGCCACAGGTGAGTCCTTCTCTGTGAACCAGGCAGTGCGGACGTTATTCTTGCTGGGATGCAAGCGGCTGGGCTTGAAGACATCTTGGGCAGGGCAGGCGAAGAGGCGGACAGTCACCATCTTGGCGTCTTTCCCTATAAGCCCAAAGGACGTGAGGAAGACATTAAGAAAAGCACTCTTGTAGAATTATAGAGTTCAAAGAGACCCCCAAGGGTCATCCAGTCCAACCCCTGCCATGCAGGAACACACAACCAAAGCATTCCCAGAAGATGGCCATCCTTGTGAACCACATTTATTTATTTATTTACTATTTTTGTATACTGCCCCTCTCAGGCTTCCGGTGACTCGAGGCGGTTTACAAGCCTTACAAGGTTTACAAGGTGTTCTTGCAGCAACACCAGAGGCACTCCAAGTTGCCAGATACTGGTCAAAGGACATTTAATAAACTACCAAGCTTGCAAACTTTGTGTTCTGTTTGTTTGTTTGTTTAAAAATGCAATGCAATTTGTTTGGTCTGCCCCTGACACAATAAATAAATAAAACAAGGCAAAATTCAATGCTACAAAAACACAAATACAGTATAAAAATGTTAACATCAATAAAATCATAACAGCGACAATAAAACATAATTCAATAAATACTCATTAAAGCATTGTCCAGTCCCATCATGTAGTTGTCCCGTTTCTTATGTTCATTACTCAGTATTTGCAAATGCTTGCTCGAATAGCCATGCCTTAAGATTTTTCCAAAATACTAGAAGCGAAGAAGCCGATCCGATCTCCCTAGGAAGGGCGTTCCATAGCCAAGGGGCCACCACTGAAAATGCCCTGTCTCTCGTCCCCGCCAGTCGTGCTTGTGACGAGAGCAGGGCCTCTCCAGACAGTCCTCGATGGTTCATAAGGGGAGATGCGTTCGGACATTCTGTATCAGACAAACCAAATTCATGGTTTGCAGGATTTTGCAGACATGGTAACCCATACAATAAACTAGTTATCTTCACCTATAAAGCGGTAGACTTTGAGAAGAATAAAGATTAGAAAGCCAGCCCCAATAAATGAATAATTAAAAGGAGTAAAGCCCCCACCTTGAGGCTGCAAGAGCACAATAGGCTTAAGATGGTTGCCATTCATGTAGGCAAACTTGACGCTGCCAAAGAGCTTCTTCTTGGCCAGGTGGTGGGCAACGTGAGCCAGGTAGAGGGCCCTCTTCCGGTGGTAGCGCTGGTTAAGGTTGTCCTTGTCTTGGAAGACTTCCTAAAAAGATACACAAACCACACATATTTCATATGACATTCAAAAACAACCCAAAACATGGTTTCATCATTAGAGAAGACTTCCTGAAGACAATGTTCCATAGAGCAGGGAGCCATTACCTGACATTAGGTGATAGGTAGAGAAATAACAAAAACCTCAATCAATGACCACAATAATGTTCTAATTAAACTTTTTAATGTATTTTAATATTTTTTACATCCAGTTGTTTAAGTACACAAAGGTGTTACAGTAAGTTGTAGCAGGACCGTGTGTGTGTGTTGAAGAAAAACCTTATGATGGTAATTATTATGTGCAGCTGGTAATGTAGGTCAACCAGCAATCTTGGAATACACCTGATATGGTATAACTGTATGGGTTTTTAGAATACAGTTCTAGGGAGCTTTTTCTCTGAGGAGATCTATGCTCAATGGCTCTGCTCTGAGGAGCAGGTTGGAGAGAAGCCGTTATGCTGTTCTAAAGGAGGCTATGGTGGAATAGCTGTTTGCTCAAGGTTTATGTTTTGCTTTCTCATTTGACTTAAGATAAAGATGCCTTATGGGGTGCATAAATACCATTGCTCATCAATCCAGGCAGCACTCACCCGGGGCATGACCAGAGCCACATCCACGTTGACTTCGGGCTTGATGCAGGTGCCCAACAGGTAACTCCCCACTACCTTCACCTCCGCAGGTGGCAAGAAGCGGAACTTGCCCTTGACGTTGAAAGGAAACTGCAGGAGAGGCACCTTCACACCTTTTGGGAGCCAGGACTGGTCCGTGATCTGGAAGGAGGCAGCAAAGGGCACGAAAAGGTAAAGCAAGGCTCCAGTTATTCTCATCATGTGAGGCCAAAGCTGAAGGCCAGAAGCTGGAACCTGAAGCTAGGCAGCAAAATAGTGTTTCCAGAACCAGTTCCAAGGAAAGCCTCCTCTCTGAGCCAGGAAAATGGCTATTGATGGGCCACAAGTGCCTGAATATACAGGCTGAGCGTCATTTATCTGGAATACAATCTGAAATTATCTACTCTAGTTGCTGAGATCATGTGTTCACTGTACACAAGCTTTGTTTCATGCACAATGTCATATGTTCTGCAGTTGATGGTGATGGAAGGGTTAATGTGAGTATTAGTTCTAGAGGGTTTGGTGATCTGTAAGTGGGAGTTCATGGGTGAAAGCAATTAGGGGTGGAGGTGTGCAGGAGATGGATTGCAGCTGGGTGTTACTGGATTTAAAGAACTAACCTTGGGAGAAAAGTATTTGTTGCATTTTGGTGGTGGATGCTGCTGGTTTCCCCCCCATGTCTGCTGGATTTTTTGGTATCCTGACCTGTCTCCTGTAATCTTGGAACCCTGGAACCTTGAACCTTTGGACTTGCTTTTGACTACGGTATAGACTCTTGATTCCTGGACTCTGTTATTGAACTCTCAGTGTTTGACCCTGGACTGGACCCTTTTGACTACGAAGTTATTTTTGCTATCAGTTTTTGTTTATTCTGTAGCTGCGTGCTATCTTTGTGTTTTATATTTTGGTCTATTAAAACAGCCAGCAAGTAACTGCTGTTTTAATTAAACTGATAAAACTGGGAGTTTGATTCATCTCAACCTAAATAAGGCGGAACCCTGGCAACGTGACACACTGCTTTATTGTTTAAAATTACCTTCAAGCTATGTGTATAAGGTGTATGTGAAGCAAAAATGGCTTCCACATTCAGAATTGGGTACCATGCGCAAGACATATCTGTAGTTCATATTTTGGGTTAACTGTTATTACAGTTATATAGATAGAGATGCAATAACATCTCTTGCATCTATATCGGACCACGTTGTGGCACAGCTGCTTGAGAGTCAGCTGCATTAAAATCACTACTGAGGTCATTTCAAAGCCAGTCCAGGTCGGAGTGAGCTTCCGGCCATTTGTCTAGCTTGCTGTTGACCTTTGCAGCCCAAAAGACAGTTGCATCTGTCAAGTAGGAAATTTAGGTAACGCTTATGCAGGGAGGCTAATTTAACTAATTTACAACGCCATAAAACTCTCCAGCAGTGTGCAAAAGAATAAGGAAGTACTCCATTTGTGTCACAAGTGGATGATGAAGCGACAGCTCCCCTGGTGGCCGGTATTCAAAAAGCATACCCTCATGAAGCTGGAAAGTTAAACAGCCTCTGTGTCTCTGTCTATATATGTTGTGTGTCTATGGCATTGAATGTTTGCATTGTGATCCGCCCTGAGTCCCCTGTGGGGTGAGAAGGGAGGAATATAAATACTGTAAATAAATAAATAAATAACAGTTAATCCAAAATCTGAAATAATCTGAACCCCACCAATGATAGAATTGGGCCAAACCTTCCACACAGAACCCACATGACCACCAGAGTGGGCCACAGCAACACGTGGCAAGGGACGGCTAGTCGAAAATAGGACACCATAACAACTTGAGGGAAGGAAGCAATTAAATATGATCTAAAATTAAGTATCTATATACTGTATAGATACACATATGGTATCTATACTGCTCCACTTCAATGCTATGAAATTATAGTTTCACAAGGTCTTTACCTTCCTTTGCCAAAAAGTTCTGGTTATCTTGCCAAACTACATAGCATGAGCCATGGCATTTGAAGTGCTACCAAACTGTATTGATGCTACAGTGTAGATGCACCTATGGACTCACTGTTGTCAACCTATAATGTGCTATTCCCACGTATTTGTAGCCCAAGATATGCAGCTGCTTATCAAATGTGGCATTTCAGTGTAGTTTGAGACCAAAGGATGCCACCTTCTATCTGGGTCTGTTCCTCCCAGATGCTGTGATCCAGGAATTCATTAAACACAATGCTGATGGAAAGCTGCAACCCTGAAAACAATTACAAAAGGAGCCAACCCCACGGAGACCTGCCTCTAAGTAATCATGCACAGAACATTCCCACAAAACCGCATGAATCCCAGACATACATCTCTTTCCGGAGCCTCTGGGATTTTGCTCAGCAAGGCATTGATCTCATGGAGGAAGGAATCAATTCTCTGCCTCCTCTTCTCCTTGAGGGTCACCTCCTTCAAAAGCTCCTCTACCTGCGGAGAGGGAGAAAAAGGCATGAGGCAACACAGCAGTCTCCCTCCTTCTCTGGTTTCACTCTAATTAAAAACTAAATGAGGAGGATATCGACAAGTTGGAAAGTGCCCAAAGAAGGGCAACTGTGATGCTCAAAGGAAACCAAACCTTATGAAGAAGACGATTGAGTTTCGCTTGGAGAAAAGATGTGATAGGTATCTTTAAATAGTTGAAGGAAGGTCACACAGAAGATCAAGCTCTTTTGTTTTTGACACAAACATGAATCAATAGGTTAAAATGACAATAGAGTCCAAATAAACATTAGGAAGAACATATTTACTGTAAGAGCTGGAACTGAATATTTCAGAAAGTGGTGGACTCCCTGTCTTTAAAGGACTTTTAACAGAAGTTGGCTGAGCATCTTTCTTGAGTGTTTCAGTTGTATATTCCTGCATGGCAGAAGGTTGCACCAGATGGCCTTTGTGGTTCCTTTCCAATTCTACGAGTCTATTATAATTTTTGTTGTTATTATTATTATTATTATTTGAAATTATTATCATGATTTGAAATTATTCGCCGATACATCACACAGTTCTAGACACTTGGGAAGTGTCCGACATATGATCCAATACAACAGCCAAGAATCATAGAATCATAGAATCAAAGACTTGGAAGAGACCTCATGGGCCATCCAGTCCAACCCCCTGCCAAGAAGCAGGAATATTGCATTCAAATCACCCCTGACAGATGGCCATCCAGCCTCTGTTTAAAAGCTTCCAAAGAAGGAGCCTCCACCACACTCCGGGGCAGAGAGTTCCACTGCTGAACGGCTCTCACAGTCAGGAAGTTCTTCCTCATGTTCAGATGGAATCTCCTTTCTTGTATTTTGAAGCCATTGTTTCGCGTCCTAGTCTCCAGGGAAGCAGAAAACAAGCTTGCTCCCTCCTCCCTGTGGCTTCCTCTCACATATTTATACATGGCTATCATATCTCCTCTCAGCCTTCTCTTCTTCAGGCTAAACATGCCTAGCTCCTTAAGCCGCTCCTCATAGGGCTTGTTCTCCAGACCCTTGATCATTTTAGTCGCCCTCCTCTGGACACTTTCCAGCTTGTCAATATCTCTCTTCAATTGTGGTGCCCAGAATTGGACACAATATTCCAGGTGTGGTCTAACCAAAGCAGAATAGAGGGGTAGCATGACTTCCCTAGATCTAGACACTATGCTCCTATTGATGCATGCCAAAATCCCATTGGCTTTTTTTGCCGCCACATCACATTGTTGGCTTATGTTCAACTTCCTCCCCACGAGGACTCCAAGACCTTTTTCACACGTACTGCTCTCGAGCCAGGCATTGTCCCCCATTCTGTATCTTTGCATTTTGTTTTTCCTGCCAAAGTGGAGTATTTTGCTGAGGCCACAGCAGAAAAGATCACTCTGCTGGATGTTGTATTGGATCACACAGTGTCTAGGACTGTGTGATGTATTGGTAATTAATGCATGCAGATCCCAGTAGGTGGCCTTCTGCAGCTGTCCATTTTGTCAGCACCAATTGTATTTAAGTGCAGGTCAAGGTCTTGAGGCACTGCACCCAGTGTGCTGATCACCACTGGGACCCCCTTGACTGGTTTGTGCCAGAGTCTTTGCAGTTCGGTCTTTAAATCCTCATATCGTGTCATCTTTTCCAGTTGTTTCTTTGCAATCCTGCTGTCACCTGGGATTGCGACATCGATGATCCATACTTTGTTTTTTAACATGATTGTGAGGTCAGGAGTATTAAGCTCCAAAACTCTGTCTGTCTGAATTCAGAAGTCCCAGAGTAGACATGTTCATTTCCAGCTTGTGATCCCACCAGTTCTTCGTTGCAGGCAGATGGTATTTGTGGCACAGGTTGCAACGAATCATCTGAGCAATGGTGTTGTGCCTCTACTTGTAGTCTGTCTGTGCAATCTTCTTGCAGCAGCTGAGTATGTGATCTATTGTTTCATCTGCTTCCTTGCAGAGTTTACATTATTATTATTATTATTATTATTATTATTATTATTATTATTATTATGCTTTTTCTCTCCATAAGGAGACTCAAAGCGGCTAACATTAAAAACATTACAATACAATTTAAACATACAAATCTACAATATTAAACCAGTATTAAACATCTTTAGTATTAAAAACAATAGGAGCCCCCAGTGGCGCAGTGGGCTAAACCCCTGTGCCGGCAGGACTGAAGACCGACAGGTCGCAGGTTCGAATCCGGGGAGAGGCGGATGAGCTCCCTCTATCAGCTCCAGCTCCTCATGCGGGGACAAGAGAGAAGCCTCCCACAAGGATGATAAAAACATCAAAACATCCAGGCATCTCCTGGGCAACGTCCTTGCAGGCGGCCAATTCTCTCACACCAGGAGCGACTTGCAGTTTCTCAAGTTGCTTCTGACACAACAAAAATAAATAATTAATTTAAAACAATTCAGGTTTCAATTTTTTTTCAAAAAAACACAAAACCACAGAAGCCCCTGACACGATCGAAACAAAATAGTCTGCAGGAAAGAGATGTCCTGCTCAGTTAGGCTATTATAACATTGCTTTACCTGCAGCCGCAGAAGGTTGGAATGGAAGAGGTTCTCCGTCTCTTTAAGGCGGCTCAGTTCTTCGTTGGTGGGCGGCTTGTAGAGCTCAGCCTTGCACAGCTTCACCGGCTTCAGGATGCCTTCCGAGGCGGAAGATCTTTTCCTCGCTCTTGGTTTTTTCCCCTCCTTGGAGAAGCCAGGATTGCCTTTATCGCCTTCCTCTCCTTCCAGGCTTTCATCTCGCTCTGTGTCTTCAGGCATCTGAAATTAATGAGGAAAAAACATATTTATTTACCATATTTCTACCCTGCCTATTTCGAACCTGAAGGTGACGTAAGGCGGCTTTAAAACATAGGCTGCTATTCAATGCCATTAAAACAATGTAAAAATTACAGTAAACATTTAAAACAGAATAATTAAATGCATACATTTAAACCTTTAAAAACATATAAAACCACTACCTTCACTATTAGCCACGTCATCAGAAACATCATCTAAGCCATTCCAGTATTTCACATAGTTCCGTGTTTATCTATTGCAACTAGGTTCCCAAAGGCTTGTTGAAAAAGCCATGTTTTCACTTTTCTGCAGAAGGTCAGGAGGGAAGAGGCTGGTCTAATATCCTTAGAGAAGGAATTCCACAGCCGAGGGGCCACCACTGAGAAGGCCCTGCCTCTCGTCCCCACCAGTCTCACCTATGAAAAAGGGTGAAAAATTCTTTTCTCTTTTTACAGTATCTTAGACAAAAGAGTATGTCATATTATATACAATCTAACAGCAAATAAACATCAAAAACATACTGTTAGATTGTATATAATATGACATGTGCTTTTCACCATAAAAACAGACAAGCATCCCGAGCTTTGAAGATCACTTGGGAAGGGATCCCACTGGAGCATTGCAGTGCACCCAAATACCTGGGAGTCACTCTGGACCGTGTTCTGACCTACAAGAAGCACTGCCTGAATATCAAGCAAAACGTGGGTGCTAGAAACAATATCATACGAAAGCTGACTGGCACAACCTGGGGATCATAACCAGAGACAGTGAAGAAATCTCCCATTGCTCTATGCTACTCTGCTGCTGAGTATGCATGCCCAGTGTGGAACACATCTCACCATGCTGAAACAGTGGATGTGGCTCTTAATGAGACATGCCGCATCATCACGGGGTGTCTGCGCCCTACACCACTGGAGAAATTACACTGCTTAGCCGGTATTGCACCACCTGACATCCGCCGGGAAGTAGCAGCCAATAGTGAAAGGACCAAGGCAGAGACATCTCCAGCTCATCCCCTGTTTGGGTATCAGCCAGCACGTCAATGCCTGATATCACAGAATCAAAGAATTGGAAGAGACCTCATGGGCCATCCAGTCCAACCCCATTCTGCCAAGAAGCAGGACTATTGCATTCAAATCACCCCTGACAGATGGTCATCCAGCCTCTGTTTAAAAACCTCGAAAGGAGCCTCCACCACACCCCGGGGCAGAGAGTTCCACTACTGAACGGCTCTCACAGTCAGGAAGTTCTTCCTCATGTTCAGATGGAATCTCCTCTCTTGTAGTTTGAAGCCATTGTTCCATTGCGTCCTAGTCTCCAGGGAAGCAGAAAACAAGCTTGCTCCCTCCTCCCTGTGGCTTCCTCTCACATATTTATACATGGCTATTATGTCTCCTCTCAGCCTTCTCTTCTTCAGGCTAAACATGCCCAGCTCCTTAAGCCGCTCCTCATAGGGCTTGTTCTCCAGACCCTTGATCATTTTAGTCGCCCTCCTCTGGACACATTCCAGCTTGTCAATATCTCTCTTGAATTGTGGTGCCCAGAATTGGACACAATATTCCAGTTGTGGTCTAACCAAAGCAGAATAGAGGGGTAGCATTACTTCCTTAGATCTAGACACTATGCTCCTATTGATGCAGGCCAAAATCCCATTGGCTTTTTTTGCCGCCACATCACATTCCTAGCTCATGTTTAACTTCTTGTCCACGAGGACTCCAAGATCTTTTTCATACTTTCTGCTCTCGAGCCAGGCATCATCGTCCCCCATTATGCATCTTTGCATATCTTTGCAGCCATGTATAAATACATGCGAGGAAGCCACAGGGAGGAGGGAGCAAGCTTGTTTTCTGCTTCCCTGGAGACTAGGACGCAGAACAATGGCTTCAAACTACAAGAAAGGACTTATAAAGGAGACTTAGGCCACATAAGCAGGATTGGGAGAGGCATTCTGAATATTCAGTAGGCAACTCAGGACCCTTTTACACTGTCTGGAGAACAAGACCTATGAGGAGCGTCTTAAAGAGCTGGGCATGTTTATCCTGCAGAAGAGTAAAAGGAGACATGATCAGGGCCATGTATAAATATGTGAGAGGAAGCCACAGGGAGGAGGGAGCAAGCTTGTTTTCTGCTTCCTTGGAGACTAGGACGCAATGGAACAATGGCTTCAAACTACAAGAGAGGAGATTCCATCTGAACATGAGGAAGAACTTCCTGACTGTGAGAGCCGTTCAGCAGTGGAACTCTCTGCCCCGGAGTGTGGTGGAGGCTCCTTTTTTGGAAGCTTTTAAACAGAGGCTGGATGGCCATCTGTCGGGGTGATTTGAATGCAATATTCCTGCTTCTTGGCAGGGGGTTGGACTGGATGGCCTATGAGGTCGCTTCCAACTCTTTGATTCTATGATTTCATTTTCAAGAAATCAAGTTTTCTAAGATCTACAGAGACACTCACTGGAACGTCTCAGCAAGCGAGAGTCCAAAAGTGGCAGGCTCAAACCCAGAACCTCAGTCAATGGCTGATACCAAATGAGAAACTCCCTCCTGGGCACACAGAATTGGAAGGTGCAGAATAGACTGCGCTCCGGCACCACCAGATGCAGAGCCAACCTCAAGAAATGGGGCCACAAAGTGGAATGCACGACATGCGAGTGTGGAGAAGAGCAAACCACTGACCACCTGCTGCAATACAACCTGAGCACAATGGAGGACCTTCTTACAGCAACACCAGAGGCACTCCAAGGGGCCAGATACTGGTCAAAGGACATTTAATCAACTACCAAGCTTGCAAACTTTGTGTTTTGTTTGCTTGTTTGTTTTAATGCAATACAACTATTTGGTTCACTCCTGATACGTAAATAAACAAACCAATTTTGCTGCCACGACTCAATACCATGGAATCCTGGGAATTCCCAACACTCTTATCAGAAGAGATCTTGTAAAACGGCCACACCGATCATTCCATAAGAACTGGGCCATGGTAGATAAAAGTGACACAAAACCGGATTAATTCTACAGTGTAGATGCCCTCTTGGAAGCACTAAGGCTTTAAAGACACAGCTTCCATACCCTTGATGGAGAAGAGCTTCCCGAAAAGGCCATCCCAGGCGAGACCCACCTTCAGCCGCCAGAGTTCTGCCTCCGCATGGAAGAAGGAGTTCCAGCCCAACCACGTGGAAACAGACACTGCCTTCGCTCACTTCCGGAATCTAGGCATAGCCCGGTTACTGATTGGTTGAAAAGAAAATACGTCTCCCCCTCTTTTCAATTGGAAGATTGTCCGAGGCCACGCCCCAATCGAATGCAGAGTGAGCCTATCAGCGCCTTAGTCTGTTACAGGCCACGCCCCGGAACATAGAGATATGAAAATAGTAGAGAATCACATCCCGTTTGTTCCCTAATTGCCATTTGATGTCTTTTTCTCGCTTTTCAGAAATGCCCGCAATGCTTTCTGACCTTTGTTCCTTTTGGACTTCAGCTCCCATAATTCCTTAAAGCTGGCCAACATAGCCGGGCCTACTGGGAATTGAAGTTCTCCTTATTGAACGGCGGAGTTTTAGTAACCTCTGTCCCTTTAAGACGGTCTAAACAAGCTGATTGGTCCTCCGTCTTGGATTGAGGCACATAACAACGAATCAGGGGAGAGCTTTTTATTGTAGTGAACCAATAGGAAAACGGCACCGCCTCTTCACAAAGTTTGGTGTTTTGAAAGAATAAGTAGCGGAGTAGGAAGGTTGGGAGGGGTAAACGCGGGAGCACGTGATCCAAACCAACCAATTAGAAGCGAAGTAGGACACCAGTGCGAATGGAGGCGGGGTTGCTTGTCAAATAAGAGTCATGAAGGGGATCGCAACCAATGGGAAAGTGAGGCGGGACGTTTCGTGATACGGACCAATCAGAAGGAGGGAGATGTAGCGGTGGGCGGGGGTGAGAGAGTGACGAAGGGCGACGCAGAAAAGGGTGGGTTTGGCGCCTGCGCATTGAAGTCGATCAGCGGCCAGAGTTTGGGGGCGTGGCTGGATGTCACGAAGGCCGCGTCACGAAGAGTCTGCAACCAATAGGAGGAAGGGAAGACGGGAGGGGGGTGAGACGTCACCAATAGGCGAGCCGGGGCGGGGTTATCAGTCGTGTGGCCAATAGCGAGGCGAGAGGGGCGTGGCATCGCGTATTGCGTGGGGGAAAGGTGTGGAGAGGGGAGTGAGACATCACCAATAGGCGAGCTGGGGCGGGGCTATCAATGTGCGACCAATAGCGAGGTGAGAGGGGCGTGGCTTCGCTTGTGGGTGGGGAAAAGGCGGAGTCGAAGGGGTGAGACGTCACCAATAGGCAAGATGGGGCGTGGTTATCATTAGTATGGCCAATAGCGAGGCGGCAAAGGGGCGTGGCTTCGCGTGTGGGTGGGGAAAAGGCGAGGAGAGGTAGTAAGGTGGGGCGGGGTTATCATTAGTGTGGCCAATAGGGAGGCGAGAGGGGCGTGGCTTCGCGTGTGGGTGGGGAAAAAAGCGAGGAGAGGGGATGAGACGTCACCAATAACGTGAATAGGGGCGGGGCGATCAGTGGTGTGACCAATAGCGAGGCGAGAGGGGCATGGCTTCGCGTGTGGGTGGGGAAAAGCGAGGAGAGGGGATGAGACGTCACCAATAACGTGAATAGGGGCGGGGCGATCAGTGGTGTGACCAATAGCGAGGCGAGAGGGGCGTGGCTTCCCGTGTTGGGTGGGAGAAGCGATGAGAAGGGGTGAGACGTCACCAATGAGGAAGATGGGGCGTGGTTATGAGTAGTGTGGCCAATAGCGAGGCGGCAGAGGGGCGTGGCTTCACGTGTGGGTGGGGAAAAGGCGAGGAGAGAGGATGAGACGTCACCAGGAGTCGAAGTGGGGCGGGGCGATCCAGGAGAGAGAGGGGCGTGGCTTCGCGTGTGGGTGGGGAAAGGCGAGGAGAGGAGAATTGCGCGCCTGCGCGTTGAAGCTGAGCCTTTCCGGGGGCGTGGCTTCACGTCACGGCGGCGATGTCCCCCAATGGGAGCAAGCGGAGAGGCGGGACGGCGAGGGAGGCGACCAATCGGAAGGCGAGAGAGCGTGAGGGGGAGAAAGAGAGGCGAGTTGGCGCCTGCGCGTTGGTGGCAGTGGCCTAGCAGCGTCCCGTCACAAAAGGAAGCGGCCATCGCGGTGAGAGGAGAGAGAGAGAGAGAGAGTGTCTGCCTGCCTGCCGGCGAGGCTGGAGCGCGGCTGAGGGCAGGGAAGAAGGACGACGCCGCCTTCGCCGCCGAGGAGGAGGAGGAGGCGGCGGAAGAGGCGGCGGCGGAGGAGAAGGAGCCGGCCGGCCTCAAGGCTGGCGGGCGGTGGCGGCGGCAGCGGTGGCGGCGGTGGCGCGGGGGCGAGGCCTGTGCTGAGGGCCTGAGGCCTCCCTCGGCTCGCTCCCTTCGCGCCGCCGCCGCCGCCTCTCCCTCCTCCTCCTCCCCGCCTTCCTCACCGTCCCCTCACCGTCCCGCTCCTTCCTCTCTTCTCTCTCTCTCGCCCTCGCTCGCCATGGCCCAGCAGCAGGTGAGCAGCTCGCAGAAGGCGCTGATGCTGGAGCTGAAGGGCCTGCAGGAGGAGCCCGTCGAGGGGTTCCGCATCACCCTCGTCGACGAGTCCGACCTCTACAACTGGGAGGTGGCCATCTTCGGGCCCCCCAACACGCTCTACGAGGGAGGGTACTTCAAGGTGAGACACCCCCCAACACCAGCCCCGATAGGCCTCGGGACCTTCCCAACGTCCCCCCCCCCAGGGGTTTGGGGCTCCCACCATGCCTCAAACACTCTCTGCTTCACTCCAGAATATGCTCCACTCGCAGAGCTCAGGCGGTGTTGTATTTCAACTCCAGAAAATGCTCAGCTCGCAGAGGTCAGGCAGCATTGTATTTCAATTCCAGAAAATGCACCACTCACACAGCTCAGGCATTGTTGTATTTCGACAGAGCTCAGACAGTATTGTATTTCGACTCCAGAAAATGCTCCACTTGCATAGGTCAGGTGGTTTTGTATTTTGATTCCAGAAAATGCTCTACTCGCAGAGCTCAGGCTGTATTGTGTTTCGATTCCAGAAAATGCTCCACTCGCAGAGCTCAGGCAGTATTGTATTTCAACTCTCAGAGCTCAGGCAGTATTGTATTTGGACTCCAGAAAATGCTCCATTCGCAGAGCTCAGGCAATATTGTGTTTCAACTCCAGATAATGCTCCACTCGCAGAGCTCGGGCAGTATTGTATTTTGACTCCACATAATACTCCACTCGCAGAGCTAAGGCAGTATTGTATTTCGACTCCACTTGCAGAGCTCAGGCAACATTGTATTTCAACTCCAGAAAATGCTTAACGTGCAGAGCTCAGGCGGTATTGTATTTCGGCTCCAGAAAGTGCTCCACTCGAAGAGCTAAGGCAGTATTGTATTTAGATTCCACTCGCAGAGTTCAGGCAGCATTGTATTTTGACACCAGAAAATTCACCATTCACAGACCTCAGGCAGTGTTGTATTTTGACTCCAGAAAATGCTCCACTCGCAGAGCTCAGGCAGTATTGTATTTCGACTCCAGAAAATTCTCCACTCGCAGATCTCAGGCGGTGTTGTATTTCTGCTCCAGAAAATGCTCCACTTGCAGAGCTCAGGCGGTGTTGTATTTCGATTCCAGAAAATGCTCCACTCGCAGGAGCTCAGGTGGTGATGTATTTCGACTCCAGAAAATGCTCCACTTGCAGAGCTCAGGTGGTGTTGCATTTTGGCTCCACAAAATGCTCCACTTGCAGAGCTCAGGCGGTGTTGTGTTTCGACTCCAGAAAATGCTCCACTCGCAGAGCTCAGGCATTGTTGTATTTCAACTCCAGACAATGCACCACTCACAGATGTCAGGTGGTATTGTATTTCGACAACAGAAAATGCGCCACTCACAGAGCTCAGGCAGCATTGTATTTTGACTCCAAAAAATGCTCCACTCACAGAGGTCAGGCGGTGTTGTATGTCGACTCCAGAAAACGCTCCACTTGCGGAGCTCAGGTGGTGATGTATTTCGACTCCAGAAAATGCTCCACTTGCAGAGCTCAGGTGGTGTTGCATTTTGGCTCCACAAAATGCTCCACTTGCAGAGCTCAGGCGGTGTTGTGTTTCGACTCCAGAAAATGCTCCACTCGCCGAGCTCAGGCAGTGTTGTATTTCGACACCAGAAAATGCACCACTTGTAGAGCTCAGGTGGTATTGTATTTTGACTCTAGAAAATGCAGAGCTCAGGCGGTTTTGTATTTCAACTCCAAAAAATGCAGAGCTCAGGCGGTATTGTTTTTCGAATCCAGAAAATTCTCCACTCGTAGAGCTCAGGCAGTGTTGTGTTTCGACAACAGAAAATGCACCACTCGCAGAGCTCAGGTAGTATTGTGTTTCGACTCCAGATAATGCTCCACTCGCAGACCTCAGGCGGTGTTGTATTTCGACTGCAGAAAATTCTCCACTCGCAGAGCTCAGGCGGTATTGTGTTTTGTCTCCACTCACAGAGTTCAGGCAGTATTGTGTTTCGACTCCAGAAAATGCTCCACTCGCAGAGCTCAGGTGGTATTGTATTTCATCTACAGTAAATACACCACTCGCAGAGCTCAGGCGGTATTGTGTTTTGTCTCCACTCACAGAGTTCAGGCAGTATTGTGTTTCGACTCCAGAAAATGCTCCACTTGCAGAGCTCAGGCGGTGTTGTGTTTCGACTCCAGAAAATGCTCCACTCGCCGAGCTCAGGCAGTATTGTATTTTGATTCCAGAAAATGCACCACTCGTAGAGCTCAGGCAGCATTGTGTTTCGACAGCAGAAAATGCTCCACTCACAGAGATCAGGTGGTGTTTTATTTTGACTCCAAGAAATGCACCACTCACATAGCTTAGGCAGTATTGTATTTTGACTCCAGAAAATGCTCCACTCGCAGAGATCAGGCGGTATTGGATTTTGACTCCAGAAAATGCTCCACTCACAGAGCTCAGGCAGTATTGTATTTTGACTCCAGAAAATGCTCCACTCGCAGAGCTCAGGCGGTATTGTATTTCGACTCCAGAAAATGTACCACTCGCAGAGCTCAGGCAGAATTGTATTTCAACACCAGAAAATGCTCCACTTGCAGAGCTCAGGCAGTATTGTTTTTCGACTCCACATAATGCTCCACTCGCAGAGTTAAGGCAGTATCGTTTTTCAACTCCACTCGCAGAGTTCAGGCAGCATTGTTGAACTCGCAGAGTTCAGCAATGCTGCCTGAACTCCAGAAAATGCTCCACTCACAGAACTCAGGTGGTGTTGTATTTCGACTCCAGGAACTGCACCACTCACAGAGCTCAGGCGGTGTTGTATTTCGACTCCAGAAAATGCTCCACTCGCATAGCTCAGGCTGTGTTGTATTTTGATTCCAGAAAATTCACCACTCGCAGAGCTCAGGCAGTGTTGTATTTCGACAACAGAAAATGTTCCACTCGCAGAGCTCAGGCGGTGTTGTATTTCGATTCCAGAAAGTGCTCCACTCGCAGAGCTCAGGCAGTGTTGTATTTCGACTGCAGAAAATGCTCCACTTGCAGAGCTCAGGCGGTATTGTATTTCGACTCCAGAAAGTGCTCCACTCGCAGAGCTCAGGCGGTATTGTATTTCGATTCCAGAAAGTGCTCCACTCGCAGAGCTCAGGTGTTGTCATATTTCGACTCCACAAAATGCTCCACTTGCAGAGCTCAGGCGGTGTTGTATTTCAACTCCAGAAAATGCGCCACTCGCAGAGCTCAAGCGGTGTTGTATTTCAGTTCCAGAAAATGCACCACTCGCAGAGCTCAGACTGGGTTTTATTTCAACTCCAGAAAATGTGTCACTCACAGAGCTCAAGCGGTGTTGTATTTCAATTCCAGAAAATGCAGCACTCGCAGAGCTCAGACTGGGTTTTATTTCAACTCCAGAAAATGCTCCACTCGCAGAGTTCAGGCAGTATTGTATTTCAACTCCAGAAAATGCTCCCCTCTCAGAGCTCAGGCAGCATTGTATTTTGACTCCAGAAAATGCCTTGTTTCCTATCTTTTGCCCTCCTGCCAATATAGATTTCTACAGTATTGCTTTTCATCATCATAACAGAAACTGTTTTCGGTCAAGGGGGGGCCCAGAGTCCCTCAAAGCGCCTTGTCTCTCCCACTCACACTACACACACACACCTGTCTTCCTGCCAATGTGGGACCCAGATTCCCACAATATCTAGCTTTTCATGATCATAATGAGAAATGTTTTAGGTCAAGTCTTCTCCGCACACAATGTATACCTATGTATAGTCTCCATATAGACCTAGTTTACCACAGTATATGGCTTTTCATCATCATATTGGAGAAATGTTTTAGATCAATGGGAGACTCACAGGAGACACAACGTTCCCCCCTCTCCCTCCGGCGATATATGCATATGTATAGTCTTCCTTCCAATATGCGAGAGTCCATGACATGTGAGTGTCGAGAAGAGCGAACCACAGACTACTTACTACAATGCAGTATGTGTCCTGCCACAAGCACAATGGAGGACCTCTTCACACCAACACCAGAGGCACTCCAAGTGACCAGCTTCTGGTCAAAGGAAATCGAGTATAATGCCAAGCTTTTAACTTTGTTTGTGTTCAGTTGTGTTCAACAAATTTGCTTCTGACACAATAAATTGTTCCAGAAATGGCACCTTATCTACTTTAGTTTTTGAGGATCCAGGGCTGCTTCAGGTGAGAGCTTAGTTCTTGAATGACAAAGGGGGAAAGAACATTTCCAGATAAAGCATCACGAATTCTAGATGCTCAAGTCCCACTATATATACAATGTTGTAGGGTGAGCCACTGTAGAGTTATTATATGCAATGTCGTAGAGTGCATCTACACTGTAGAACTAATGTAGTTTGACACCACTTTAACTGCCACTGCAGTTTGCAACCACAAGCAACATCCATGTTTCCAGTGGCTTAGGTTTCATCTCCACTGTAGAATTAATGCAGTTGGGCCCCAATTTAATTGCCATAGCTGAATGCTGTGGAATCCTGGGAGTGGTTGTTTTAAGGTTTGTAGCCTTCTCTATAAAGACTGTTGGTGCCTCACCAAACTACAACTCACGGTTTTCCATAGCATTCAGCTATGGCAGTTAAAGTGGGGCCCAACTGCATTAATTCTACAGTGGAGATGAAACCTAAGCCACTGGAAACATGGATGTTGCTTGTGGTTGCAAACTGCAGTGGCAGTTAAAGTGGTGTCAAACTACATTAGTTCTACAGTGTAGATGCACTCTACGACATTGCATATAATAATTCTTACTTTAGAGGCACCTGTAGTTAAATAGTATTCTTTAAATAAAACTGGAAAAATATTGGGTTTTTGTTATGATTTTCAAATCTGGCTGCAGGTTCTGTTGAGAATGGAGAGCCAATTGTTCCCCCCTTTGAGTTGTTGCATTGGACAGCTCTGCAAACTGTGGGTTGTAAAAACTTTTTTAAAAATGTGTAGTCTGTGGGATCTGCATCCATAAATTCCACCATCCATGATTTGAATTTTTTTAAAAAAATAATAATTTCAGAAGACAAATTTAGATTTTGTCATTTTCAAGGATGCCATTTCATTACAATGTTGTGTATAGCGAGACTTGAGCATCCATGGATTTTGGTTCCCATGAATGGTCCTTGAACCAAACAGCTGGATGATATTTT